TTGCCCTCAATAACATTTGATGGTATCTAAATTAATGAAACATCCGACGGTCTAGCCCAGCAAAGCACGGGAAATTAAACGAACTGTACAATCCCCGACTGGGTTACCCCTTTTCGGTTTTTATTTTTCCCATAATGTCCTTTTGTCCTAGATTTCTCCGTAATCCCTTTGTCACACGCAATTAAGGTTGTTCCGATAACAGGCCGAAACGCCCATAACACGTTTGTGCCGATTGCCAGGCGATTTCGGATAGGCAAAACAGCTACAGGTAAGTGTACACACCACACACACGCGCGCGCGCGCGCGCACACACACACACACACACACACACACACACACACACACACACACACTATGCGGATGTCGTTTTTATATAATGTTATTATACAGATTGTTGTGTTCGGTCTTTTTTTTTATTATTTCATAGTATATTTTTTTTGCATATTCTCGCAAGCCCGGAAAACCAGAAACAAATTTAATTTCACGAAGCGCTTATGCTTCAGAAAGCAATAACATGCATAAATTCGTACACAGTGTACAGTGTGTCAGTTCACTGTACACCAATGTCTGTGACTACTACGCATAATGTATATTTATACACACATTAAACAGCGTAATTTTACAGTCATAAATCACTCATTGCTTCAAAAACTATTATCATTTTTTGAAAAAATAAAATTTATAAATAATAAAAACATACATTTGCAAAAAAATTTAATTTTCACTTTTTTGTACGATAACATACATTTATTATTTCATATTCCAATGCACGATATTATTTGGAATATTTCGATTCGCGAAAATCAAATTTCAAACTAGTAGTGTATGAGTTATATCTTAAGGATGTATACAATTTAGACAAGGAGAGTGGAGTGGCACAGATGTTCTTATTAAATGTTTGTCCACTACTCCGCTCATCTAAACTTTAAGTACACATTTTATTTTTACATATAATAATCTCCAAATAATATTGTGCTTTGGAATATTAAATTAAAAATGAATGTGTTGTCATTCAAAAGTGTACAAATGGCAACAGAAAAGTAAAAACATAAAAAATTATGACTTACAAAAAATTTATTTTGTATTACTCACAATTATCTCAGAGAAATAATGAGTGTTTCATGATAAAAGGTGTGTTTATGTGTAATTTATATATTTGTATGATATATTTGAACAATATGTGAGCCTAAATTACGAGACACTAAGAGGAGCAAGGTACCTATTATCATTAGGAAATTATTTGGGACTTCAGAGTGACTAGAGACTAGAGAAGTCCTTCACAGGTTCCACGTGTGACAAAAATATGATTTCTATATAACATTATCGTATTATATCGAACGCTGCAGTTTGCGTCCTAGCGCAAGCCGATATATCCGGCGGATATTACTTCCCGAGTGACATCTTAATCCAGAGCTTTGAACCAATATTAAGCCGGATACTTAATGTCATATTATACGTCACGCAAAAAAGATTTTTCTAGCAAGTATGAATTATTATTACGGCGATTTATGTATAGGATGTGGTTTTCCAGCGTTTTGATTAGTGTATGGAATACCTAAGCATGGTATCGAGTATTCACTTGTTTGCTGATTAACGAAGCCGCTTGTGCCATGAAAATTGAGTTGTGGATAAAGGAAACAGTTTCATTGATGATGAAATAATTATAATAATAAAGAGCGAAAACGATTGAATTGCAAATTCCGACTATGTGCCTGCAAATAATAACGACGGGGTGGGAAAGAGAACTCAGCCCGATTTATCGACGGTATATTGTTTCTGCATATGTACTCTTGGTACCGGCTCACGGTTCATTTATGATTTATTGGGGCTAAACAGTATTGTGATAAAAACAAAAATTCATTGTAAGGGGAAAAAAATACAGGACGGGGATAATTTCGTAATAATCTTGTCAATTTAAAATGTAAGAATATAAACATCACAACTCGCTATATTTTAAATTCAGCAGATATAATTCGATATAATAAATTTAACAAATTCCGATTGAATGTATTAACTTATATCAAATCGACTGAGAATGCTTGCATTCAAAAAATAATATTTTCTCAAAATGATTTTTGCATAGTAAGCATGATGTAGTAATATATGCCCTGCAGTGTTTCGAAATTGCCATCCATATTGTGTAATAATTAACAAATGTAATAACTTGAAAATGTAATATCTATGTATGTAATTAGCATGCTTGTTATCTTTATGAGTATAGTAAAATTATATCATTGTGATAACTGATAATAATTATGAAATATGAGCTCGTTTAAATAAGATAAACACACAGTGTGTAACCAATAATAATTATTGTTAAATTAAAATGTGTCATTGATTTAAATGTGTAAAAGAAAAACATAACAAAAAAAAAAACAAATAGTCTCTGCTTATTAGTTTTATTACTGTATTCATTTATTGTAATATGTAATAGTATTGTATTTTATTAAATATGTTCTTTTGCAGCAACTATTTTTTATTAAATTATTTAATATATTGAATTGGTAATTCATAGCAAATACTACAAGTTTTCTAATGAAAATAACAAATACCTATAATGGGAATAACGTATTAATATTGTAAGTGTATGCTTGTGAGTGTGTGTGTATACTGCATTCTATGTTTTTACACTTTGGAGTATTAAGCAAAAAACCCATTACTATTATTTTTTAATTTTAATGAAAAAAAGCAATCGTTTTTATTAAAGCTATACAATTTTATTATATTAGGATACGAAAAAACACTCATACATACAGGTATAATGATAAATTCATTAGTGTCAGCCTAGCGATTAATCATTCAACAAGCCCGTCACGATATCGACTTTCCAATTTGTCTCTTTACCCTCGGTCGGGTCATTATTGTCTACCTACTGGTAATTGCTTCTAACTGACACCCGTATCAGTAACATGTTTTTTTACTCGTGTTTACATCATATTTGTACATAGCATATATATATTATGTATTTTATATACATTATAATTATACACATTATTATATTATAATTATTAAATTATATACATCCATGATTTTAGACTGAGAATTGTTTTCAAATTGAATTATAATATTATATATTTGTTTATGTCAACGAAGTCTAACAATAAGTATATTGTAATGTAATTGTATTCAAGTTACATTTTCCATTATAACTATAATTAATTTGATCACAAAGTAATCAAATTTTTTTTAGAACCAACGCCTATTATCTATAGTCTACATAATATTACCCTGCATTAAGCCATAAACTTGATACCTGATAAAGAAAAAGTACAATAACATGTTACCAACAGAATCTTGAGTGATAATCACCCGTTCGAAATATGTTTGCTGTTGTTTAACTTCCAAGTAGCAAGTGACTAAGCTATGTATAACATTAGTCCTTTTATTCCGGCCTTTATTCAATATTCTTTAGCTATTAGTTAATAACGTACATAACTTTAATCAATATTTTTGAATTACGAGTAAGTGGATAAAGTTGTTTAATCAATTAAAATACACGTATCACACCTAAACATAACTACAAATATTAACACAAGTCTATTTCACGGACGAAATTGTTTTTTTCATTTATATTTATAATTGTATATCTCTTTTAATCATTACAGCACATATATATTATATTCCCATAAGCTATAAAATCTAATAATTATATTCCGTGTTTATAAAATGTATATTGTTCAAGTAATAAGTTTGTATGCGTGTCTATAATATGTTGGATTAGGAACTTAGAGTGACTAGCACTTTAATTTAAAAATGGGAGATGTCCATTTATTATAATTTTTAAAGTTAAAATTTCTATTCAACAAAAATCGTAACAAGGAAACCCCCATTCCAATGTGATATGAACCTGAAGTCATTTACGCAACGTATAACCACAGGTTATTACATTATACGAAGACAAGCAGAACAGAAAACGTTTCATACTAACAATTTGTCCATGATATTCATTACATTTTATATTATAGTAGTATAATATGATACAACAGACGGTAACCTCGTTATTGCATTGCAAACTACAAACAAACGTAAGTGATCATAAATAAAATACAATTTTCCTCATTAAATATTTACGATACTGTCAGTCATACTAATTCGATAAATAATTCAAATAATTTTAAATTGTCCGTTTTTTTTCTAACGAGTACCGCTGAATAATACATTACCTAACTAATTAAATTATGACGATCGACATATTAATAATATATTATAAAGCATAAACTATGTAGAAAGTAATCACTTACCACGCTATTGTTCTTCTATAACAATATAGGATTGTTCTTAGCATACACCTAAATTTACATTTTTAAACGTCTTTTATGTAAAAATTAATCAAAGTTTAAAGTTATATCATCAGCTATAACTTAGAAGTAGATTTTTTTTTGAAAAATTAAATGATTGTATTTACTATTTTCTATACACTCGTCTCCGTAATATATACGTACCTACGATTTATTTTACCAACTTTTTTAACAACAATATCTTAACTCATTAAATTATTCATTTTATATAAAATCAGTTTCCTAATTTTGTTAATAATTTTCATAATTTAAAAGGTTAACTTTCGCGATACCAGTTTATTTTTAGACTTTATCCGGAAAATCATAAGCTGTAAATAAAAACAAGAAAATGAGTTTATAAACTTATGAACACCGGACCATTCAAGACAATGCATCGCATGATGATGTAAATATAATTTATGAAAAACATCAATTTATGTACTAAACAATATTTTCAATCAAGTAATTTTCGTAAAAAATACTGGAGTCCATCTACCTACTTAAAGGTTAAAATAATAATTTTTACGACATTCATCTAAAGTACTCACGAACCTCTATAAAACAATCTTCAATATAAAAAGAACAATACCCATCCGTTTATTGCTGTAATAACTTCTTTTTATTACGTTTTTTTCAGTCAATAGTAAAATTATAACTGTATTTACAAAACGAAAATCCGAATACAAGTCGTAAATAATTAAGTTTAAATATGTTTTTCAGTACCTGTTTTGACGAGCTTGAATGTGGCAGCATTGTGCGTTTTCAAGGAGTCGTTCAGTGCCGGATGCGTAAGGTCCCTGAGCGATAGGTCATCACCCATCGCTGAGGCCATTGGGTTCATTGGTTGATGTCCTCTTAAGAGTTTGTTACCGCCATCCACGACTGTAAGAATAAAGGTGCATGTTACGTTGAATCAATAACCGCAGTACGATTGTCATTCAAATAATGAAAAAATTACTTCATATTAATTAAGAAACGTCGTTAATATGACAATATAGCACCTACGGAAAACGGGAGAAAAATGTTTGGGATGAAACTTCTTTACGGACGTTACGGCAACGAAAAAAAGGTGTAACGAAATTATGTTCACGATCTCATGCTCACCACACGAAATTTAAAGTGGTACCAACCAAATGTGAAAAATAATTTTATTTTTCTCTAAATGGTCACTTCTTAGTGTTGATTAAGTGATTGAACCATGATTAAACGCATAGACATTATACTACAAAACAAGACGTACAGAGTTTATGGAAAGCAACAAAATATAGGGTCGCATTTTGTTGACCCGATGACTCGTATGCACTGTTGTAGGGTACCGTATGCATATTGCATATTATGTCTATTTATGGACACTCGCGAATTGCCTCCCATCTGAGATTGGATAAACATTTTAATAATTATACTGTTTCAAAAATTTACAAAAATCAATAACCAATAAATAAAATTAATTTAGATGAAATATAATTCTGTTATACAGTCAAAAACTTAAGTTTGTGAATAATTATAATTTGATTATTATGTTGTATCTTAGATTAGTTTTGGGTGTTTGAATTAATTTCCCAATACTTTAAAGTTTTAAATATTGTATTTTTGACACTTCGTTTGTTTTTCAAAATAATATCTTTAAACACTGCGGAAATCTATATAATACTTTAGTAAGTACATGTACAACTATCGATATATTACCTAATTAATAATGTAGGTAGGTAATGCGAGTGAAAAGAGGCCACTTACCTATATTTAGGAGACAATTCGAGTGTCACCCTATTTATTGTCCATACCAAATTGACAAGTTAGGTATGCGTACAATATGTGTTCAGTCTAAACACTCCGCGATAATTATTGTAAATATGCACACCTGACGCCTAAAACAGACTACACTACAGCGAGATGTTTTACCGCCGCTTTTAATGCAGTTATACAGTATACACAGTAATTGTCTAGTAGTATAATGTCTATGATTAAATGAGACACTGACATCAACGTTTGTTTATAAAATTAAATTGATAATACATATTTTATATGGACAATAAATTATGTATATTATAACTATTATTAATAGTATTATAATTTATTTATATAATTAATAATTAGTGTAGACTAGTGAGGCGGAGCGTCGTTTTAATATATAGGTACCGTAAGTTAATTTATAATACTTATTATATATGTAAGGTTAGGTTAGGTATTAAATTATATGTGTATAATAACATAGGTAATATAAAATAATTATATACATAAATACATATAGGTATATTTGTAATGCTGGTCAAACAGGAGAAAAGAAGTTATTTATCATAAATAATTATACGTTTGCTTATAACATTTACGATTTTCGAGATTCCAATCAATAGGTAGCCCATGACAAAGTAGACAAAATATAATATTTTGATATAAGTATTTATTATTTTTTTACATTATACTATATAATTATATAAATTTTCTAGGTAGGTATACAGAATCCCAAATGGGGACCAAAGCTCACTCACATATACCTTTGGCAATTTGGTAAGGTGGAAGAACTAGTAACAAATTACACACAGAATAGTATAATATATGTGCAAACACTCTCAGAAACATAAACGCATATGATATTTAGACTCGATAAATCTGCCTTCACAGGTATTATTATTTATGTTATACGTTTAATAATAATAAACGAGTATCGTGAGAGTTTCATCTGAGTCAGGGCGCCAGTGCGCGGTGAGCGGCTGCGACTCCAACGCACTATTATAATATATACGAGAAGATTCATCGAGCATTTTCACCGTCTTGTCTTCAAACTGTGCATTTATGCAGAAAAAATTAGATTTTTTCAATTTTCAAGTAAATTTAAAAACCATATTATACTCAAATACTCAACCTACGCTAAAGGTTAATAATACGGGAGAGTCGGATAGACATTATAGGAGGTACTTGTTAGAAATTCAATTTAGATCCGTAAACATTTTCAAAAAATTTATCTGCCTAAATCTGTAGTGACTAACAGTAGAAAAAGGAAAATATTCATTTGAAAAAATGTACTTGCTATTGCCACAAGACAATTCTTAAATTCCATAATTTGAAATTGATGTATTTAAAAATATGCCGTAACAATGTAATATTTTAATATTTAAAAAATCAAAATTTAAGGACAAAACATAGTTGAGAGTAAACCTGATGAATCACCCTATGCGGGTACATACTAATGACTAGTTATTTTAGTTAAAATAAACTTTGAATTATTCTAGTCGTTGTTTTCATGTCCAAGCACACGGTTCGGATTATTCCAAGTTTTCGGTTATTTTTCCAAACATAAATATTTACGAGAAATATATTAACTTAACAAATATGCATACTCGAGTCTACAATCGAGATTCATTTTTTTTGACACAAACTATGAGATGCACTAATAGATTTTGAGGCGTCATAGAATTATGTGGTAAAGACATATCAGGGTTAATCTCATGTCCGAGTGATTTGCCAAGCCGGTAGCTATGCCACGAAAAATCGTGAAAAATAAATCACTCGACGATTTAATGGTTCTGTCATACGCGCTCTTCGAAAACCGCAGCAACAAAACGCCAAGCAAACCGCGTACATTGTTCGAAAACATTTTAAGTTTGCTATGCGGTGGTTATATTTTTTCAAACGACCCAGTTACAGATATTGGAGGTATAACGGAGGGGAAACCTCAAAACAATTGTTTAAGATTTTATATGAAACTTTCACGTCGTGTAGTATTTTTTTCTTTCTATACTTTTTACATAAACTTGGTGCTATTGTATACAATATTGTACACATTCTGTGTATTGTTCTAATAATTGTATTACATATTTACACACTTAGAACGAGACTCTGTGTAAGTATTGTACTTTTTTTTAATTTTCACTGTAGTAGGTCATTCGGTTGTCATAACTTTTGAGATGTAATTAAGCCAACGAGTAAAATGATTAAAAATAGAAAGAAATCATTTGGCATAAACATATTCATATACATTTGCTTATAATGTAATTTAAAATATATTTAATTCTCTGAGGTAATATTCCCGTTCAGTGGACTGAATAATCGTTATTTTTAATTATGTTTATCATAAATAAATATTAATTTTAAAATATATTGATGCAATCACATCAAAGAAGAAAATATTAACTTTAAAATTGTTTTTGCTGTGATCTGCAGAATTTTTCAAAAATATTTCAAGAAATTACATAGTTATTAAATATAAAAAAATTAATAATGATAAGCTATAACTTTAAGATTAAATGAACAATAATGTTCTCCAATCATCCTTTCTCGCTGACTTAAGCGTATTTTTAAAACGTCATTATTATTTTTGCCTAATGTTTAGAATCTTCATATCCCATGTGTCCCAAATGTCTATTGAATACCTACTTGTTACAATGTTATAATTCAATGTCATTAGAGCAAAAAAAATAATTTTTACTGTCATTTTTAAACATTTAAACATTTTCTTCACTCTTGGACAGAGACATTTGTTTTTATGAGCTGTGTAAAATGTAAATCTATAAACAATAAAATATAAGTATAATAATAATGATAAGACATAGGTACTAATCAATTCATTTTTCAATCAATATATATTTAATGTTATGTGATAATTTTCGATGAGGATAATACTAATAAATGTTTCACGATTAGACTTATGTTAATAAAAATAAAATTAATATTAATATGAACTCAGAACTGCCTGGGTAGAAAAAACAAGGGTATTATTTATTGTGGAAAAAGTGTATTTAACAAATTAGAATAATATATTTTAAGCTTTCGGATTTGTGTGATTAATGACCGACGCGTTATTATTATTCGTTTCGATTTCTTAAACTGTTATTCCAAAGCTGATGTTTCAAAATATTTTTCATGTTGCGACTAATCGGAGAAAATGAAAATATGATACTTTATGAAAGCAGCGGGAGATACAATAAATTGTCCGTATTCGATTTCCTCATATTTGAGCCCGTCGATTCTGAATGGCAGTGAAAAAGCTATTGGTTTTGTGATGATGTACTTATTTTTATTTTCAATGGGTCCGGAACATTATTAATGGTAAAATGACGTATTTCATTAATTTCCAACCTCAAACATATAATAATATATTATATGATATTATATACAATCACTCTGCAATATAACATAATTTGAACTTTATTCGAAAATTTTAAAACCCCTTATAAAATGTATACATAATATAATATAAGAAACACGTGTATGATTGTAGAAGTGAATTTTTTAATTTTTACAGTACATTTTTGTTTTTATTTGATACGAGTGCAATACAATAATAATCTTTAAATTTGTATGAACGTGTACATACAATTATTTCCGTATAGTAAATTTGCCACATCAACAATATTACTATAAAGCGTATCACATCTTAGCATTATTTCGGGTGTTTATTGTAGAACGGCGAGCAGCATTGTTGTTGTAAATTAAAAATTTATAATTCATGAATTGTGAAATATTTAAATGCACGTTAAATGGCGGAATTGCACCTGGAGCGGCGTTCAATTACGACGAATATAACTTTGAAAGATCATTTTCACATCGTATCGAAATTAATTAAAAACCACTCATTTCCTCACCCGTTATGTTATGCTTATATATTTATCGCTGTATTTTATTATAATGTGTGAGTTGGAGCAAAACGAAATCCGAAAGAATCCTGCGACAAGCGAAATAGCTTATATTATTTACGTATCGCGATTCAGGGTTATCCGTATATATTCGACGATAATCGAAATTCTTGACTGAAACCCTATAAAAATATAATTATTTTATTTTTACCCCCCTCCCCCATGTTATAACTGCTGTTGTGGTTTTTTCTTTTTAAAAAAAAAATGAGAGCAGTGAGTCACCAAGGATATATACAGAAAATGTGCGTGAAA